GAGAGTGAGGGAAGGGGCAAAGGGAGAGAATCTCAAGCAGATTCCCCACTGAGCAAGGAGCCCAACATGGGGCTCAATCCTAGAACCCTGAGATCATGACCTGAGCTGGAACTAAGAGCTAGACACTCAAGCAACTGACCCAGGGAGGCAGCCCAGATAAAAGTTCTTTATCACATATATGTTCTGAAAAAATTTTTCCCAAAAAAGTGTCTTTGCAAATATTGTTAATTTTGAAGAAGTCCAACTTATCTATTCTTTTATAAGTCATCTACTTGTTTCCTATTTCAGTATCATTGCTTAGCCTAGACACACTACGGTTTTCTCCTCTGTTTTCTTCAAGAAGTTTTTTAATTTCCATTCTTAGGACTAGTTAACCTTTTATAGACAGTGTGAGGTGAGGGTCATGATTTTTTTTTTCTTTGACATAAGGATATCACATTGTTCCAGCATCACTTTAGTGAAAAAGACTGTCCCATCTCTATTGAACAGACTTGGGTCCTTTGTTGAAGATCAGTTGACCGTACATGTGTGTTCTATTTCTGGACTCTTTATTCTGTCTCATTGATGTATATGTCTAAGTTGACAACAATACCACAGTGTCTTGATTACTGTAGCTTTACAGTAATTCCTAAAATAAGGGAGTCCTGAAACTTTGCTCTGCTTTCCCAAAATTGCTTTGGCTATTTTTCAGGTTCGCTGTGTTTCTGTTTCAATTTTAGAACAAGCTCGTCAATTTCAATTAAATTAAAAAAAAAAAAAGCCTTCTGGGATTTTGAGTGGGACTGCTCCAAATCTACGGAAGAATATGAGGAGCACTCACACTTTCCTCACAGTTAAGTCTCTGGATGGGTTCATATGCTACATCTTTCCATTATGCAGTTGCTCTCCAATTTCTCTCTGCAACATTCTGTGGTTTTCATTGAACATCTACGGCACCCATTTCATTCCATTTTTCAAGCATTTCATTTTTTATATGCTTTTGCATGAAGATAATTTTTTATAGCTTTTTGGAAATATAGCTGACAAACAATAAACTCAATCTATTTACAATGCGTACTTTTATATGTTTTGACATCTGTATATACCAGTAAAATCATCATTCCGGTTAAGAAAATGAACATATCCATTTCCCCTACAAGTTTTTTTTTTTTTTGCCCCTTTGTTATTCTTCCCTCTTGCCCTTCACAGCTTCACTCTCCCCATTCCTATGCGAGGCAACCACTGATCTTTCAATCACTAAACATTAGCTAGCATTTTCTAGAATTTTATGTAAATGCAATCATAAAATATGTTTTCACCTTGCTTCAATCACTCAGCATAATTATTTTTAAATACATACATGTTTTTGTACGTCTCCACAGCTCATTCATTATTTATTACTGAGTAGTATTCTATTGTATAGATTTATTTATTTATTTATTTATTTGACAGAGAGATCACAAGTAGGCAGAGAGGCAGGCAGTGGGGAGGGGGAAGCAGGCTCCCTGCTGAGGAGAGAGCCCGATGCGGGGCTCGATCCCAGGACCCTGAGATGACCTGAGCTGAAGGCAGAGGCTTAACCCACTGAGCCACCCAGGCGCCCCTCTATTGTATAGACAGACCAGGATTATTCATTTAAATCTGATAGATACTGAGTGTTTTTCCTCCAGTTTCCAGCTACTACAAATAAAAACTGCTACGAATATTGTGTACAAGTATATGTGTATCCATATGCTCTTACTTCTCCAGGGTAAATCTCTATGAGAAGAATGGTAGGGTCAAACGGTAGATGTATGCTTAACGCTTTTAAACTCTAAACTGTTTTCTAAAATGGCTGGATCCAGATTATAGACCACAGGAAAGCAGACAGGCAGACAGGCCAGAATAAATTGTTTCATATCTTTCACATGCATGCTGGTAATAAAGATTTGTTTATTTATCAAATATTACTGAGTAACCGCTAAAAGGAATGAATGGGGTTGGGCACAGAGGATAGAGCCACGAACAAGCCCTGGTTCCTGCCCCTGCAGGCTTACATTCTAGAAGAAAAGCAGACACCAAACAATATACTTCACAATTAATTATGTGCTCATAAGAGCTATAGAGTGCTCTGAACCTAACCTAGTCTAGGGACTCTCTGAAAGCTTCTTTGAGATAGAGACGTTCGAAGAGAACGGTAAAGAATGAATAGCAATTCACAAGATAGATATAATCCCAACACACTTGCTAAACACAGGAAAGTGGCTCTGGGTTCCAACACAACTCCCTGAGGACACACATTTTTGTTAACAGATTTATTTATTCACCTAATCAGTCAAGCTTGCTCCCAAACCCCACATGAAATAATCCTAGGCTTTGGCATAAAAAATGGGATTTGGGAACACCATTATCTTCTGTCTTCTGACTCAACACAGAAGTGGACAGAAATGTCCCCTGTGAAGAATGGAAACAACAAACCACCTTCTACCATGAACCAGGGTAGACTCATGAGGGGAATCACGAGACCGAGCCTAGCAGGTGCCATCGTAGCAGCCGCTGACGGGGCGTCGTGTAAAGTGCAGAGCGCACTGCCCACCGCGCAGGAGGGGCAGCTCCTGAGTGTTCCTTCTCTGCGGGAGGCGCTGTGTAACGTTCTAATGTACATGATGACCTAATGCAGTCACGACTGTTACTGCCGTTTCATGTACGAGTATACTACCATCCAGAAAGATTAAATAACCTGCCCTTGGTCATTAACTGGTCAGTGAAAAGGCCCAGAGCCTTTCCAACTCTGCCCATTTTATTAATTACTATGCAAGAAATAATTTTTACAAAATTACCCTAAAGCACCAACAGCAGGGATGCCTGAGAAACCTTAACATCAAGATAATTCCATGAGAGATGACTGATATGCTTGTGGCTCTTCCTGAGAGTTTTATGAACCTGTGGTCTCTGACAGGGTAAAACCCTCCGGGCTGATGGTACAGTGCAGACACAATGGGATCTCCATTAAAACTCTTCCACTCATTAGCTGTGTGACTGCACCTAACCTTGTTTCATCTTAGTGAAGAACGAGAAACAATAATCACGTTGCAGGTTTGGGAGAAGATCGTAAGTCATGTCTGTAAACGTCCAGAATATTCACTGGAATATGGAGGCAGTTATGAAAGTTTTCCTTCTACGGCATCTTGGGAAGATTCCGATTAATGGGGATGAGGCTCTTCCTGCCCGCCACTCCTCTGATATACGGTTACTTCCTTTGAGGTGATGTGGAATCAAACACAGAGCAACAGAGGAAAGAGGAGAAAAGGCCTGAGACAAACCCAAGACTGACAGAAATCCCAGGTTTTAATACACGTGAGATCTCATGATCTCATTTCAAGGTCGAAAGGAATACATTCATTAGGCTACCTTTCTTTCACTAGATTTCACTTAGCCCAACTGAAAACACTGAAGAGGGAGCACTCCGCCTGTCTCGGCTACATCGTTCCCACTGTTCCCTTTTTCCACTTCCCTTTTGCCACAAAAATAAACATGTAGGTATGGTCTGAAGCCACTATATGCAAGAAAGAGAGAAAACCCTGGCAGAAGCAGTGGTCTTTCTGCCAAGAGCTGGCTAGAGAAACAAGTGGGTAATTTGCTTTTTTAAAAAATGGGAATAAGAGTGCTAAAAGTCATCTAATGCCCTAGATGAGATCATGTAAAAAGACATCTCTGTGAACGAGAATAAACCCAGGAAGATGATACATATTTTATTAGCCACTCACACCTCTCACTGGCCAGTAACTACAACAACCAAGTGTGTTGCACGTCTGGCTCTTCTACAACAATTTCTTTTACACTCAAATGGAGCTGCATAAAAAAGCACCCTTTTTAACTTAAGGGTTAGAAAATAAATTTCTCTTTTTTTCTAAGATTTGTTTATTTGAGAGACAGAAAGAGAATGCACAGGGGGAGGGGCAAAGGGAGAGGGAAGACTTTTCCAGCAGGCACCCAGCTGAGCACAGAGCCCAACGCAGGGCTCGATCCCACGACCCTGAGATCATGACCTGAGCGGAAACCAAGAGCTGGACACTCAACTGATAAAGCCACCCAGGCGCCCCAGAAAATAAATTTCTGCAATAAATATAGGAATACACAATCCATATTCATTTAATAAAGTCTGAGTACAAATGGCTTCATCTAATTCAATTTCATGACTTTTTAGAACCTTAAATTCAGCGAACTCTGAGTCAGCGAGAAAAGACGGCTGCCTCCCTCTCACTGGCAGGACGAGGGCAGGGGACAGATCTCACCACCTTCCCTGTGCCGGCTGTGGCTAACTGAGGCCAGCTCTCTGTCTTGCTCGGGTCCGATGTCGCTGCCCCCCACCACCCCGCCCCTCCCCCCAGCCACAGGCCTCTGCCTGCCGCCACCACGCGTCTCCCGGCATCCTCCCTGCTGGAGCTCATCAATTCCAACCGCTTTTCACCAGGCCTCGGCTCTGGCACTTTCCCCTGGGGAGACCTTTACTGGTCTCCATACTTAACCCCTGAACCCAGCCTAATCCATCAGCCGCACAGAATGAACGGTGAGAGAGAATGTTTCTCCCCAAAGACAGGCCGCCAGCTTCTCCACTTAAACCTCGGAAAGCAGCCGTCCACAGGGTCTGCTTTCTGCGGGTCACGTCGCCAGCCTGTGGGCTCACTGACATTTTTATCCCTGCCGCGCCCAGCTGCTCCAGGCCGGGACGCACTCCTCAAGGGGACATCATTAAGTGCTCATCTGTCACGAGCTAGAGATGCTCTTTTGAAAACATGCCCGGACTCTCCTTGGGAGCCCCCCCAATGGCCGGAGGGCATGGGTGTCAGCCTGGAAGAGGGTTCCCCCAAAGTTTTAAGGGACAGCTTCACAGCACGCGCTCCTGCCTCGCTTTTAGACTCACTGGGCTTGCGGGATTATGACCTTAAAGAGACTGAAGCAGAACACTCCAGGTCAGGAAGGACCGGCGACACTGGGCGAGAAGCAGCGGCTGTGAGCATGGACGGCTGAAGTATCCCTACCTCATAGCCGAACTGCAGCTCGTCTGACGTGAGCATGATGATGTCGTCGTCGATGGCCAGGACCGCCTCCGTCTCGATTTCGTCATAGGGGAAGAAGCGGTTACTCAGCTTGTTTTCGGCCGTCCTCACGACTTTCAGCGGGACCCGGATCTTGGGCCAGAGAGAATCTGGGGTGGGAAAGACAGACATGGGTGACTCTTCTGTGAGGAGAACGAAGGGGTAAAAGCACCATCACACGAGATGGAACTTACTTCCGCAGCTGCCATCAAACCTCCACGTACAACCGTTGGAGGGTGAGTCCTCACAAAAGCACTGTTACAAAAACCTGAAGTATTTCTGTCCACTCCAGGTCCTTGCAACAATTCTAATTCTCAATACTGTCTTAACCAGAGGTACGAATGGCTTCAACTCACAACTGAGAGATGGAGAAGCCAAAAGGACTTGCCCAAGATCACAACAACGAGGGATGGAGTCTGCACTATCCCAGTGTCAGGCCCACGGTGTCGTGTCAGAGCTCGGCCACCTCCCCAAACTACCTTCAGTGAGGGACACCGCAGTTCAAGGCATGCCTCTGCCCTGCTGGCAGATACAAAGCCTGTACGTGCTCTAGATGACTGCCCGTGTGGCCCCTCCACCATGCAATAGCCACAGACACCAAGCTGCTCTAATCCACCCCGCGAAAACAGTTTTCCTGAACGATGTAGGTTTCTTAACTTAGCACGTTATCCCCTGGACAGCCCCTTCCCTCTGATCCACTGGGTTTGGTTTCTCATCCTGAACAATTTACAGAGTAAATATCAAGTTTCTAGGTCTAATTATGTGGGATTTTCTGGTATACTGAAGAAACACCAACACATGACTTGCCTTACATTTTTTTCCCATTCTACTTTGAAATGATTGAAGCGATTCAACCACAGGTTCCTTATTTTAAAATGTTGCATTTAGCATAGCATGAAATTAGTACCTCTTTGGTGCACTACCCTTGTCCATAGACGTCAGGGCTCTTTACAGAGGGTCCTTTGTTCTTCACACAACATTTGTCAAATGACAAAAGGAAAGCTAGGTATCAGACTGCTTCCAAAAAGCCCATCATGTAATTGTGGAAAGATCTAGCATGTGTGAGTCTTGAAGCCCCAAATGCCTGTGGCCACTCCAAGGTCACCATACTGAAGACAAGGATGGCGACGGGGGGTCAGAAGGGAAAAGGCTGTCTGCACTGCCCGCAGATGAAATACCTTCCTTCTGTATATTGTACAGTGTGTCCATGGGACACGTTGTGGGGACACCAGCAGGGTCCTGGAAGAAGCCTGTTTAAGTGCAGGCCCTGTAATTAGGGAAGACATTCAGTCTTAAATAAGCACAGAGCCTAAAATAAGTAGTCAACTCCAAAAGAAGCATGTTTGGGGAAAAGAATGGAACTGAACACCAAAGAAATGATCCTAGGGGCCTCTGCCTCTTAATCAATAACAGTAGTTAATTATAGTTTCATCCCTGGCCCAGAAGCACATTGTCAATAAAGAGCTTTGGAATAAACGGATGGGAACAGGACTTGAGAGAGTGAAGATCTGCATCCCACATTACCTGTGGGGTGTCAGCAAGTCCCTCTCACTATCTTCTAAGAATAAGTGGGGGAGGGAGGACACTTTACTAAGCAATAATATATACCACACACTTCGTAGATGCAATGTTATCCAATCCTCCTGAAAACACTCGCGGCAGAAATTATTTACAAAGCAGCAGTTACAAGGCTCGGAGAGATTAAGTAATTTGGCAGGGGTTACAGAGCTACTAAGTGATAAGGTAAGTGATTGAACCTAAGTCTATGTAGCATCAAAGACCAAACAGAACACGTACCATCTACTGCAGTATGAAAACCTCATGCTTCTCGAGATTTGGGATAAAATAATGAAACTCAATGTGTGTTCTCCAACAATCATCCTTATTCTTGTTGGCTTCCTGCTTCCTCTTCCAGATAAATTCAACCCCTGCCATAAATCTACTGTCCAAATCCTTATGAAACATGAATTTTAATACCTAAAATAGCTCTATCTACTAGACCACCAGTTCTCAAAATTTTGGTGTCAGGATTTCTATACTCTCTTAAAAATTCTTGAGAATTATGGAGGGGATGTATTGCATGGAGCACTGGATGTGGTGCATAAACAATGAATTTTGGAACACTGAAAAAAAATTAAATTTAATTTAAAAAAATTGTTGAGAACCCCAAAGAAGCTTTCTGTCACACACACACACACACACACACACACACACACACAGAGTTAGTATAAGAGATTAAAACGGAGGAAATTTTAAAACAGAAGAATACACAAGCACACATCCCACTAGCCATTTATCCCATGTCATGCAGCCTCACAAAAACTCCTCTGTCCCCTTGCGAAAGAATAAAGAACGGGAAATGGAAGTGATTTGGTATTACTATGGAAATAATTTCAACCTCACACATCCCCTGAAAGGCTCTCATGGATGTCCAGGGGTCCCTAGACCACACTCTGAAAGGCTCTGTGTTCCGATTTGGGTATGGTAAGATGGGGAAAGTTCAAATAAGTTGGAAAGGAGTTTGGGAGGAATTCCGAGGACAGTACAGGTACTTGAATCCAGGATTTCCACAGAATGTTTAAGGAGACTAATGGTGCCAGTTGTCCATGCACTGCCTCCCAGCGTCAACGTCACCCTTCACTGCCTGGTTTCTCATGCTGGAACTAGATCCTGTAAACATTTCCCCTCTGCCCACCAGCTTGATGTTAGGCTCTGTCAGTAGAGGGTTCTGGAGGGACACTTCAGAAGGAAGGGGGCTTTTCTTCCTGGTTTGGGCGCGCCTCTTTAACTTGTTGCTCCTTCCGTACTTGACCAGAAGATAGGCATGCAGGGGCACTTCCCTCCAGCAAGCTAAGTGGCATCCCTGGGGACAGCTCTGCGACAGGTTCTACAGACACCTCCAAGAGCAGCTCGGCTGAGGTCCTCCCCCTGGGTGGTTCCCAGGGAGCTTCACCAAAGCCCGCCATTTCCCAGCAAGTTCAAGAACATACCCCAGTGGTTTCCCATTGAATTCCATGGGTATTGAAGGGGTTGGGAAGTTTCTTGTTTGCCAGACTTGGCCTGTGGCACCTCAGCAAACCTCACCGTGCAGTAGGCTACAGTCACGTGCTATTAAACAAAGTCTGAGTCTCAGAGATAGCTGGGGAAGGGACTCTCCCAAATTTGTTTCCTACTTTCTTTACAGTTTTTTTCTTTTTTAAGATTTTATTTATTCATTTGACAGACAGAGATCACAAGTAGGCAGAGAGGCAGGCAGAGAGAGAGGAGGAAGCAGGCTCCCTGCTGAGCAGAGAGCCCGATGCGGGGCTCGATCCCAGGACACGGGGATCACGACCCGAGCCGAAGGCAGAGGCCTTAACCCACTGAGCCACCCAGGCGCCCCTCTTTACAGTTTTTACCTCTAGTCACCAATTATCTGTTACTAGTTAATCATTCTTTATATTAAACTTCTCCTATTCAAGTTACTGTGTGGTTTCTCTCTCTTACCTGGGCCTTGACTAATACACCGGATATCAGGAGGGGTATCAGATGAAAGGGGAACTATTCTCTCCAACCTCTAAAGTTAGAACCATGACCAACGGCTGGGTGAAAGTTACAGGGCAACCAACTTAGACTCAAAATTGGTAAGAATCTTCTGATGGAGGGGGCGCCTAGCTGGTTCAGTCAGAGAAGCATGCGACTCTTGATCTCAGAGTCGTGAGTTCGAGCCCCACACTGGGTTTAGAGATAAAATAAATGAAGTGGGATGACTGGGTGGCTCAGTTTCTTGAGTGTCTGACTCTTGATTGTGGCTCCAGTCATGATCTCAGGGTTCCAGGATCACGCACAGGCTCCATGCTCAATGCGGAGTCTGCTTGAGGATTCTCTCTCTCTCTCTCTCCCTCTGCCCCTCAACCCTGCTTGCACATTCTCTTTCTCTCTCAAATAAATAAACCTTTGAAAATAAATGAATACATTAAAAAAGAATCTTCTGATGGAAAAACTGAGATAAAATGAAATGAACTGCCTTGAGCAATATAATGTGTGTTTTTACTTGAAATGTACTATTAGGTACTATTAGGTCAGTTTTCCACTTGACATCAAATGAGAGACCAAACAAGATGCCTCTGAGGTCCAGGATCTCGTGAGGCAGTCATCTATCAGAAAGAACAGTCTTCGGGAAGACCTCTGCATCTCAGGTGTAGCCCTTACCAGCCATGGTGTCTTGAACAAGTCAGTCACTTTCAACCTGTTCCTTCCACTATGGAGACAGAACAACGACTCTGCCCTCCCACGGCTGACTGTGAGGATGAACAGGAATGCCCCGAGCAGCACAGTGCCTGGCACACAGGAGACATCCACTCATTGTTAGCCTGGCCTTCCCCTGAACGTTTGTGTCTATCTACAGAATCAAAGGACTTCTTCCCGAGCCTTCGGTGTAAGGGTGGCCAAGTGGGCCAGGCAGACCTGGCACATTACTCTGGCAATGCAGTGGCATGCCCCCAGCTTGCACCTTCCGTATCCACTTTTAGATCACCAGGACCCCTACAGTAACCCTCCAGAATGGAGACAATCGAGCGCACAAATGAGACAAAAAGAACATGGAACCTTGTCCGTGCTAATCTCACAAAGTAACAAACAGCTCCTCCTTTTGCAATACATACAGAAAACAGGTTAGCTGCCTCGGTTAAGAATGAATCACAACCCTGGATGGGATCTGGACTTCCACTTGATGCGTGGGTATAGCATGCTCCGCCCACAGACGGCTTTCCACAACTGTCACCTAGCTATCTGAAGAATTACTCGAGACAATACCCACAGAGAACTAACTTGCCCTTGCCCTGTAAAGTCTTTCATGGACAAGTTTGAAGGAATGATGAAGGTCAAAGAGGATGATGTGGGGCGAAGATGGACATGGGACTGTCCGTCCTTGTTCTGAGTTAGGCCCCGGTAGCCAAAAGTCAGTCAGGGCAGAAGCCGTCCCCACCTCCACGGCCAGCTGTCTAGGCACTGTCGTCACCACAACACAGGCCTCTAAAGAGAACTCCCAGTTTTTTGTTTTCACATTTTCAAATAAAATAGGCCTCCAAGAAAGGGAACTGCCATTCTCTCGGGCTTCCGCATGCTTTCTGTGGGGGGCAGAAATAAAAAATATGCATTATAATTACTCTCTGCCTTAAAGTAGGTAATTCTGATATGGGATGTTGAATGTTTAAAAAATTAGGACAGAAGGATGAGAAAAATGTGGGTGAGAAAAAAAAGAACATTTCCCCCCCTTTCCATTAGTATTTTCAAAAGAACAGATTTACTGTCCTGTCTCTCTTTGAGCCCCTGACAAGGACCTAGTTCTTCTACATAAGCCTGAATCAGAGAACGGACAAAGCGTGATGATTTTCTTACTGTTGAGTGGTAATCTAAGTGGGTACAGTGGGCCTTAGTGCAAGGGACACGAGCTTCGGATCCACGGAGACCTGTGCTCATTTCTGGCTCTACACTTACAGTTTTCCAATTCAGGCAAATTACACAACTAATCTGAGTTTCATTTTTGTAAAACAGGAATAAGAACAGTGTCCTTGCAGGTTTGCCAGAAGGACGAGATAATACTCAGCACAGCTCCTGTTCGTAGGATTTAAAATGTGTTTAACACACGCCTATAAAAACAGTGTACCATTTTCATCTTCATAAATGGGTTCTTTTAAGTCTTATGGACCTCACTTCTCTTCTGACAGCCTGTAAAGGTGTAGACAGGAGGCTACGAGGTGGCCCCTTGGGATGAAGAAGGACACAGTTCATAGCTAGAGACCTTTGGGCTCTAATTCCATTGCGGAGGCCAAATGGGTCTCTTTTTTCCTTACTCCTTCTAAATTCTAAGTGAAACTCTAAATTCTAAATGAGTTCAAAGAAAGACAGTGTGGCCTTGTACCTTATGTCTCATCCTGTGAATATGTGGCGGGCAAAATAAAACTGTCACCTTCCATCCACACAAAGCAGTCTGAAAAACAGGGGTTTTTTAAACACATTGCTGAATTTATGAAAAACAAACAGCTGAGCCAGGTGACCTGATAACTTCAGTCAGGAACTTCAGTCTAGCTCGAAGGAGAAAAAGAACTCCTTGTGTTCAGGATTTTTTTAAAATGTGTATTGATTAACGGTTTTCTCCACGCTGGATGCCAAGAAAGATGCGAGCAAAGAGAATTTCTCCTCCAACTTGGCAAGGGTACTATAAAATGATGAGGACGACTGAAGATGACCCCAAGCCCATCCTGACAATCTCTGTCACAAATACAACCACAGACCAATGAAATAAATGGTCAGATTACCTCTGTATCAACCTCAAGCTCACTTCAGGAATGCTCGGGCTGCTTGGTGTAGAGCGGGTCCACGTGATCGTAATTCCCCACAGTCCCTGCATTTGGCTCAAAAGCAAGGTGGCTGCGGCTTCTACTTCTCTGTTGCCTCCTCTGGGATGACCGTCGTGACTCACTTGGCCCATCCCCTCCTGCCTGCTAACAACTAGGAAAGTCATAATCTGAAGCCGGGGAGCTCCTGAGGTCAATTCAAATTTAACACTGAAATCAGCTAAAACAGAAGGCTGAGTTAAACCTATCTGAAACGCACAATGTAATCGCTTCCTTCACAGGGAGGCCAGGGGCCAAGCCAAACAACCTCTATATCCATCAAGTTTGGAAATTGAAGAGTTGGGGAGGAGGAAGGCAGTGGCTTGTTTTTTGTTTCTGACAGAGTTCAAAACCAATGTGACGAAAGCTCACTGGAAATTTCTATTGCCTACTCTAAGTATTTACTTAAAGTTCAAACCCAGCAATTTAGACTTAAATGTAACCAAAAAGAAAAAAGTATTTGGTTGGAGAGTGAAAAAAAAAAAGGCGGTGGGGGGGGGTGGGATTTCTGCCTGCATTAACCCTCCCAGCAGCAGACATGTTCACCACAATATTTATTTTAGTAAATGTAGAGAAAGTGAAAAACATCACTTTTGCCTCTAGTATTTCAAAGCCTTGGACTTACTTTTTAAAAAATATATACACTACTAATGCCATACATACAGATTCAGATGGCTTTGCTGGCATGAAGGCCAGAGCTGACAGCCCCATTTACCAACTGAACAAACACCCCACAGAAGATTAAACATGGTTTGTGCTCTCCCCAAACAACCACCCCACCAGAGCCCGAGCGGAGACCTAAAAACCACTGCTGGAAAAAAAAGCTGGTTCAGTCTCTAAACGTGTCAAAACTGGGGCCTCGTCACTTGAGGGCTCGCTTTCCTCCCTAGAGCCAAAAATATTTCAAAAATAAACTAAGCTCCTGGTCATAAAATTAACCGCTACATCTTAGCAGGGTCTACCAAAAATTAAAACTGAACACCCAGCTCCAAAACCAAGGTTTGCGCTCGTGCTTCCTGTCACCCCCGTGTCAGCACTTTGACCAAGAAGGCAGAAAATGATTCCTCCCTTCTTAGCTGTCCCCGATGATACCTGCCCAAAAGAAGGGACTTGAATTCACAATAAACCATTCACCTGAACCCCAAAGTGGCCAGCCAGGGTTCGTAAGGCAGGAGAGGCCCCTTCTGCACGTAGCTCTGCCCCTCTGGGCGGGTGGGCTGCTGATGGGCTCCCTCGGAAAGTGGGCGACCTCCGTGTGCAAGGACTGGACGCACGAGTGGGAATGCAGCATGACGCAGTGGCCTATAACAGATCCCAGGAGGGCCACACTGCCTTCCTTCTCAAAATGTGACTCATCTTTTTTAAGCCAGAGACCAACGAGCAGCACCAAGCTGTCTGATCCACTTCTCTCTGGCAAGACATGGGCAGTGGACCTCTCCGTGGCCCTCCCCGTGGCCCTCTCCTGGCCCTCCCCAACACGACTCCTGTTTATCTCTGCCTTTCCTTTCCTTCCTGTCCACTTCGTCCTTCTCCCCTGCTCCTTTTTTCCTTCTACCCCTTTCTTTCTCCTTTTTAAAGAGTCAAATAAATGAAACAAACAAACAAAAATCCAGGAAACTAGATGTTGGAGAGAAACAAACTTGGCATGAAAAGATAGTTAATGAGAAAAAGCACTGCTCTCTGGAGTGTAAAACAGGGCCTTCATTTAAAGTAGCTATTTTGTTTACTTAAACGATGGCTCCCTGAATAGAGAGAAAGTATATGATTCTCTCAAGAGAACAAAAATCCCACTAAGGAGGATATCTTAAATGTCTAAGGAACTAAAGAATTTTCTTGGGGCAAATTCTGATTTGCCTAACAGACAGCAAATGTTCTTCTTGCAGCCTAAACTAGAGATCTACTACTACTGGTAGTTTCCAAAGTAGACTATCCCGACTTCAGTATTACCAATTAAAAGGGAATAGCCATAAAAAGTGCAGATACTACTGTCAGGCAATAAACTAGACCTTATCGGTGATAGTGGTGCACATTACAAACTTCAAACTCATTCCTTGCTCTAATCCATCAGAAACTTCCTGGCTTTAATAGGCTATAAAGGGCAGGAGCTTTGAAGTCCCTGGGATTAGGATCAGTAATAGACAGACTGAATGAGAAACTAAATGCAGGTGGAACATACTCTATGCGTCCTGAACGAAAAACAAATCCAATTAATCAAACAGTCCTCAGCCTGAGCTGCCAGCACCAACCAGCAGCGCACAGGGGTGGCCAAGGCAAGGGACAAAGCGATTAAGGATGGACCAATGGGAACCTGAGTGAGCGCTCACTTTAAGGAACTGAGTCGAAGCCTGAAGAGGGCATGCTCTGCTGACTTTCCCAATGGAAAGTGAAGCCGTCCTTTTTTTTTTTTTTTCTTTTTTCCTGAAGCAAAGTGCAGTATCAGAGCCCAGATAAGGAAGGAGAAAACTAATGCCTTTTAAACTGAGTTTTCATGTAAACAATCAGCTGAGATGGCTGAGGGAAGCTGAGCTCTGTTTTCCCAAGGCTGCTGGCCTTTGATCCCGCTGATTCCTAAGCTCTCAAACACTTGTGGCTACAGCGCATGCCATGGGCTTGGGGTTAAATGGGCCACCCCAGAACAAGAATGAGATGACTGAGAAAACTGGGGTCATGCTGCCTCAGAAATGGCATTGTAGTTAACAAAGCAGGACAACTCATTTAAACCTAAGGACACAAATAATTTGGCCATCCAAAAACCAATCCAGCTGAGAGGCGTGCTAACACCCAGACCAGGCCTTTCCTGAACATACCATTTTCCCACTCTTCTTACCTTCTGGGGGGTTTTTATTCTGGTTATTCCAGACGACCAGCAGCTTGGATAGACTGGGCACCTTGGACACCTCGGTGATGACCCGGAAGAGGCTCTCCACTCGGTCATACGTGAGGACGATGGCGGTGAAACCTTGCGACTGTGGCGGGATCAGTGGGAGGAAGAGTGGGTTGCTCACGCTGCTCCACTTCTGCAAGGCAACAGGTTCATGTGGGTCAGCGAAGGACCTAGTTACCATGGAGCTGATTTTTTTGCAATGTTGTCCCTAAACCAGGACATGGGAGATTTGGTGACTTTAACATGACCAACCCAAGAGCTAAAGCAACTCTTTGGTCTTCTCTTCCCCAAAACTTGTATTGACTCTCTTTAATTAACTTGAGCTCTGAGGTCACCCAAGTAGGAGCAGAGAATTTTTGTAGCTGAGAAGAGATATCTAGTTAAACACAGCAGATTAAACACGTACATTGAGCTCCATTCTCTCCTCAAGCCAATTCAAGGGACAGTGGATACAAAGTACAAATGGACAATGACAGTGAAATGAGAGAAGACACAACAGGGGACGAGCAGTATCGACGGGTTTCAGTAAGACTAGGAGGGACCAGAGAAGTGATAACAGAGCAGGAGAATGAGGGCAAAAGCTAAGTAACCACACAGAGGGGCCAACAAATGAACCAAGTCCAAACCATTGAACCCCACAAAGGCTCAGAAATCAGCTGAGCAGGAACCTGGGGTAAGAGGAGGGGCAGGGTTAAAAACAGGAAGACTGGTTAAAAATATGTATAAGGAGCAAAAGAGACCCAGATCCACAAACCTCTGCTTCACCCAGCCACTCAGCCAGAAAACTCCTCTTGCTGCCCACCCCTACAGGAGGGGGGAGGCCTATTCTCTGAGGAACTGAGGCTCTGGGCATGGAAACATGGCCACAGCTGAGAGGAAAACGCCGGTCAAAGTCTATGAGCCAGCTGCCCTTCTTCCCCTCCAAGTCCCCAAACACTGGCAGCCAGGGGCCTAGATTCCCCCTCCACCATTGGACAGTGACACCCTAAGTGCAGGAGGCTTGCCCTCACACCCAGAGCTGCCTTCCAGTCGGGTTTTCAGTCCTTCCCTGGTAGTTATGAACAGATCCTAGAATCACAGTCATCTCAAGAACATCTTCAGCATAATGACAGAAACCAAACGAACAAATAGAAAAAGAGGAACTCAGAGGAAACAAGAGACAACAGAAGAAGCAGAAGAAAATTAAAACAACATCAATGACAAATTATATTCTCAGGAAGAAAATTTTATCCATGAAATAAGAATAAACTGATATTTTTATTTTAAAAGATCTATCAAAGAACAGGAAAGAACTCTTGGACATTAAAAATAGGATAGCTTAATTTTTTTTTTTTAAAGCAGGATTAAAAGAAAAAGGTAATCTATTCCAGTCTCGTGAACAAAAAGGCAAAGATGAAAAACAGCTCAGAGAAGATGAGAAAATCCAGGAGGTCCAACATCCACCTAATAGGAGGTTCCTAAAAAAGAAAACAGAGTACAGAAGAAACAAAGGACTATCAAAAAAATTAAATAAATTCTTGGGACAAAAGATAGAAATGACATGAATTTTCAGATTGGAAGGGCCCAATAAGTAATTAGCACATTGAGTCTGGAAAAAAAAAAAGACAAAAAGCAAAACAATAGAAGACCTATCAAAGCACATCATTTCTGACACTGTGAATAAAGAGTGAGAATATACAAAATGCCTAAATCTAGGTGATGAGTTCTAGGTGTGAGTTCACTGTACATTCTTGCAACTTCTCTGTAAGTTCAAAAATTTTCTCAAAATCAGGTTTAAAAAGTAATGAAGGAAATTCAATTTCTTTGCTATCATTAAAACATTAAGTATATTTCAATGCGGTGATACAAGCAAAACTGTTTTTGTTCTGATAATAAGATTGTTAAAACATTTTCATATTTTAAAACAGCTTTTTTGAGATATAATTAAATGGTTTTGGTATATTATGTAAATTTTTTTAAACCGTGGTAAAATATAATGTGAAACTTGCATTTTAGCCATTTTTAAGTATACAGTTCAGTGATGTGAATTACCTTCACATTTGTATGTTATTATGTGAAAAGCCCGGGACCGAACTTCATCTCTGCTAGAAGGTGGCTGGACACGAAACATCCTACTGTTATTTTGGCCGCTTAGTCTCCTGTCCTCTGGGATTCCCAAGGTCCCCCATCAGCCTCACCCTTATCACTGATGGACACCCATCACCACATAGAGGACAACAGCTGTTTGCCAGATGTAACAGTGTGGGACAGGAAATGTACACAAACACATGGAATACACATGGGATGGGAACTCAAAGAGACTGAATGGGATTCCAGGAGTCCTAATGTAATCAGGATATTAAAGCCAAAATGTCCACAACGGGCCATAATTAGATTTCACAGCCGTGAGACACAATAAGAAAGGCTGACTTTGTTTCCATGACCTCACGCTTTGACTTTAAGCTGCAGTGTCAGAACGTACCTAGATTTTAGCACTGGTACCCTAGCATCTCGTCCACATTGGTAGGAACCCCTTTTAGTTATCTACCCCAAAGCTTATTTCTCATACCTTCCTGACCTTTATGGAAACGAAGTCAGTAAGCAGCCCCGTGCTTCAGTCACAGTTAACCCCGAAAGTGCAGTCTCTCTGCCGTCACCATCCCAGCCCGCTCATTCACTCCTCCCCACACAGTACTCTCTTATGCTTGAAAAACACCATTTTAAATGAAAAGGACACAAAAGCCGAGTTTCTGAGGTGCTGTAATGTGTGTGAAAGCTTTACTGAGTACCTAAGTGTCAGGCCCCAGGCGCTATGTGTCATGTCTCATCTGAGCCGCACAACAACCCCCAAGCCAGATACGGTTATTCTCGTTTTACAGAAGATCAAACTGTAGGCTTAAACGTAGTGAATGATGCCTAATCATTTGCTTCACCAGTCAAAAGAAGAAAGGGAGAAAGAAAATCAGAAAGGAAGGGAGGGAAAAGAGAATGACGTGATGATGTTCAAGGTCTGGCTTCCGAACACCATGGCGGAGGCCCATGGCCCACCCTCGAGCCCTCCTGCCCTGAGTCCCAGGTAGGCACCGCCATTCTGGAAACTCTGGAAACTGGAACTATGGGGAACACTGGAGTTTATTACTTCTAACTCTTCTCTGAGACAAAAATGCTGGAAGTTCTTTATCCTTGATAATCACATGTGGGCCAATAAGCAAGAGACCGCCCCAAACACTAGGACTTCAGAAGATACATGGAATAAAACTCACCGAATATATAACACTGACACAAAGGAAACACATAAATTAAAAAAGGTAAATATGCCTCTAACGCAGAAGGAAAAACTATTAAAACTCCAACAAAATGGGGTCTGTTCTTCGGGAGAAGTGGGGAATGCCAACACACTTGAATGCCTGTATGACATTAAAAGGAGAGGAAAGTTCCCTGAGAGACGCGAAGCTTGGTTTCAGAAAATGAATCCCTTGGAATTTCAACGGAGGCACCCCCTGAGGGGCATCACAGCTCTGATTTCAAGGCACTGCCAGGAGAAGGAACCAGAGTCTCTGGCAAGATGACCGATCTGTTCTCATCCTGTTTGCCAGCTCCATTCGGGATTCCAAGGGGAGGTAGGAACGGGTGGGTGGGAAGCAGACAGTTACTTGTCTTGGTGCTCAATTTTTCCACACTCCTCACTTGCATACCAGAGAGGGCGTGAAAACTGGGGAAGCAGAAAAGGCAGCATCAAGGGGAGACAGAGGACGCAAAGGAGCATAACAAGGTCTGAAATACCAACACTTCCCGTAAAAGACAGACGTTGAGATGAACACAGACGTAACACAGAAGCCGCTAGCATCTGTTTCCTAGGACACAGGCCTGGTGCTCTACTGCAGGATGTGCCGAGGGGGTGGAGGCAAATGACTTCAAACAGTGAGTAAGCACATTTGGGGTCAGTTTGGGAATCATGTGTCCTTAACATAATTTCAGGCTCTTTTGCTTACCAGCTGTGTGACCTGGGCGAAGTACTTAACCTCTCTTGCACCTCAGTGTCTATAACTGCGATAATAACGACTACTTTTCCTGACATGAGATATAATGATGATAATAATTTCTAATAATGTTAATTAACATTTCTTAATTATTATTTCTTAACAAGCCAGAAGTTGTTAATAAAAGTAAACAGTTAGTAGATGGAAAGTACCTCACACTACAAGCACATCTGGTAAATGGTCGCCCATGGCTGATCCTGCGGGAGTAATCATTTCTCTGGGCTTTACTTTCCACGGTTCCTACAAGTGGGAGGGCAACCATGAGGTCTCTTCCAGCAACAAGTTTGAATGACTTGTTGACTTATCATGACTTGACCTTATCATGCTTCAGGGTCCTAGTTTATCTGGATTCTCTACCTCTATTTCCTCTCCAAATACACTGTTTTTATTTTCACAGTTTCCTCTTTTCCTTCCTGTTCTTTATATTTTATCTCGAGAGCTCCAAGACAGCAAGAGCCGTAACTGTTACAACAGCTTGTACCTAGCCAGTGCCTAGCACCGCTCAATAAAAACCTGTTCAAGAATGGTTAAGTTAAACCCCAATGACCCAGGTCATGCTCTTTCTGTCCTCTTTATGTATGGATGTGAACAGGTGAGGTACATGCAAAGAAGGGATGTCATGAGTTCTGAACGTAATTTATAACTTAGTTCACTCATTTTAAAGCACTTACGAGAACCTCAGTGGGCCAACTACTCTGAAGAAGGGCAGGATGGGGAGAGTCCACAGAGAGCTTGCATTTACACCCTGCCATGTACTAGTTCTGTGACGTGTAAAGCTCCTCCTGTGTTGACTTCCTCATCTGCAAAACAGGGACCATGATGGTACCCGTCTCCCAGGGCGATGTGACAAATGAGGTCGGCCCACAAGCAATGAGTGCTCAGCACAGAGCTCCATGAACCGTACTTTAAACCAAACACAAATCGTCCAGCTCTCTCCATTGGTATTTTTCTTGCCTGCCAAAACACTGGTGTGTCACCAAGTCAACAATCATCCCTACCGATCGTATTTCTGGTGCATTTCCTGAGCTCATACTATTCGCCTGGAAGAGTTTCACGGGTGCCAGGACAAACACAGCCTCCCCCTCAACATGCTTGTCATCTGGTGGGGCGGACA